TAAACTTTAGAAATATGAGTGAGTTCTTCTCTTTTTTCCCCCCTTCTGACTCCAGGTCTCTGAAAGCTTCTGTTAATTTCTTTTTTTTTTTTCAGTATTTATTTCCTCTATTTTGGCTTCCTGATGCTCTAATACAATTTTCATAGTCTCTTCTGACATCCATTTTCCTTTTTCTTTGGCCTTTTTCTTTGCAATGACTTTGTGCTCTCTTCATGGATAAGATTCTTGGTGTTATCCACAACTCATCTGGTCGTTATTCATTAATATTCAAACCTGACCTCAAGATTAGGCTGCAAGTGTGGAAAGAATCAATGGAGACGCTCAATGTCAGCTGGCAAAACAAGACCAGGTGCTGACTGTGGAGCAGATCAATTACTCATGTGCAAGTTCAAATTGAGGCTGAATAAGATGAAAACAATCTAAGAACACCAAAAAACAACCTCGAGTCATAAAATACTTAATGAATTCAAAGTACCCACCTTTCAGGTAGCAACCAAACACCTCAACCACTGCACCACCAGGGCTACCTTCAAAATAGTACAGCATTGACCAATCCTTGGAGTGTACTTGCTAATTGCTGTCAAGTTGGCTCTGACAGGTGGTGACCTCATCTTAATGAATGACCCTCTTACCGCTGTGGAGTTGGAACCAGTTAATAGCTGAGCTTCCATTGGGTTTCTGAGACTGTAAATTGCACAGGAAGTGATTGCTCTTCTGGACTCTCAGAGAGACATGGCCTTTGGGTTAGCAGCCCTGTCTCTATGGTCTCTGCCCTACGTGCTCCCTATTAAAGAATGAAGCTTTCACTGCCCAATGATTGCTAGAGTACTTGCTCTGACTTGTATCCATCCTTTTCTTTGAGAAAAATCACTCCCCTTCACTATCCTCACCTATGATAATGTCTTTCTCCAAAGATCAGTCAACAAGGCCAAGGAAACCAAGGGCAGTCTTCCGCCGTGCAATTTACTGCCTCTAAAAATTCACCGGAGAGCCAGCTATGAGTCGGTTTTGACTTGATGGTACACAACAGCAATTCTAGATTATGTGAACCTTCCTTTGAAATCTACTGTTGTTATTGTTGTTAGGTGCTATTACATCAACCACAATCCATAGTGACCCTATGAGCATTAGACCTGTACCCTGCCTGCCCTCGCCTGTGATGTCATCGTCGTCTCTCATACACTTGAGCCCGTTGTTAGTAACTGTGTCAATCTTTCTTTTTGAGGGTCTTCCTCTCTTATGCAGAACTTCTTTCATTCCAAACATGATGTCCTTTTCCAAGGACTGGCCCCTCCTTACAACATGCTCAAAGTATGTGAGAGGAAGTTTCACCATCCTTGCCCATAAGAAGCACCCTGATTGCCCTTTCTTCAAGAAATTTTAGTCTTTCAATGGATGTTTTATGGAATACTGATTCTCTTCTCCAGAACTCCAGTTCAACAGCACCAATTCTTCTTCTGTCATCCTTATTCATTGTCAAACTTCTAGACATATAGCAAGTAATAGAAAAGGCCATGGATCAAGCCTATCTTACTTATTTTTAAAAACTGTAAGTAACACAGCCAGATCAAACCAAAAGACATTGATTTTCTGTTAGGGCTCTTTGAACTGTCTCTAATCATAGGATACAGAAGAGTTATAATCTCCTGTGAGATGTACAGCCTCCAAACCCCACTGTAGAGTCAGCTCTCAGTTGGTTTCAACTTGAGGACAATGAGTTCAGTTGATTCTAATTGTATAAAACTAATAATAGCGACTAGGTGTAGCACATATTATTTACCAACATCTCACATATTATAACTTCCTGTAATCTTCTAAACAATGCTTACAGAATATGTATTATTGTTTTCATTTTCTAACAAGTGAAACTAAGGTGCAGAAAAGGTAAGAAAGTTGCCTGAGGCCACAGAGCCGAAATATGATGGGACTGGAATTGAAGTTTGCAAGTTGCAAAACCTGGATATTTTACTAAATGTAGTGGTGACTCTTTTAAAATATGAAGTAATAATGTGTTTAAGTTGAACAAGTTTTATGTCACATTGTTGTTATTGTTGTTGTTGTGTACCATTGAGTCAGAACAGACCCATATTTGACCCTCCGGCAGGTTTTCAGAGCATGTTACTCGTGTGGGAGAAGATTCCCCATCCTTTTCCCATGGAGCAGCTGGTGTCCTTGAACTGTATGCCTTCAGGATTGCAGCATACCTTCTTGCCACTAGGCCAAATCTGAACCAGCTAGTCTGTATAACACTCTAGGGGACAACGCCAATTAACTTCACCAACCCGTTTTGTTTTAAGTGTACCAATAAAAACCAAAATCACTGTTGCCATTGATTTCAACTTATAGGACCAAGTAGAACTGTCCCAAAAGCTCTGGCCTTTAGGGAAGCTGTTGCTATTGAGTACGGTTGAGTCGGAAGCAGCGCATAGCTGACCCTGCAGTGGGTTTTCAGAGGCAATAAATTGCAATAGGAGGAGAGTGCCCATCCCTCTCCCATAGAGGAGCTGGAGGAGTCAAACCACATACCTTCAGGATTGCAGCACAGCTTCTTGCCACTAGGCCATCAGAGCTCCTCTAAGGAAGCAGACTGCAATGCTTTTCTCCTGAGGGGTTGCTTCTGGGTTTGAATTGTTGACACTGTGGCTTGAAGTTGAGCACTGAGGTCTCAGGGTTCCAGTTGAAGAAGGCTGATAGGTACCTGAGGTTTGCTCATTTGGGTAACTGGCTACCACATTAGAAGCATCGAGAAGCACCAACATATTGTGTGGCTCTGTATGCACAGTTCACAGCTGGACTTGGCATTTTGCTTCTGAAGAAAAAACTGGAAACCCTTAAACTTCTTCAAAGAACCCTGGTGGGCTAGAGGGTTATATGTTGGGGTGCTAACCCGAAAGGTAGCACTTCAAATCCATCAACCACTCCTCCAGAGAGAGGTAGGCCATCTCTTCCATGAAAACTTATAGCCAGGGAAATCCAGTGGAGGGTCACCATGACTTGGAATCAACTCAGTGACTTTTTTTTCTGGTAAACTTCTTTAGAAATGTGGCAAAAGAAGGTACCATTTTCTCTTTGACTATTCACGTATACATCATTGTTACTGTTAATGTGTTCATACTAAATATAGACTAACACTCGGACTGGCGATGACAGCAGAAGTAGAACATCTCTTTTAACAATGGTCACAATTATTCCATATTCATGGGTCACCAGCACTCAAGATGATCATTTTGTCTGGTCAAGTCATTCTACATAAATAGGCGCTTGAAAAAATGATTGTTGTTGTTATTGTTTGTTGTTGTTGGTTGTTGTTGTTGATGGTTGTTTGCTGTCAACTGGCCCACAGCTGACCCTCCAGGGGTTTTCAGAGGCTGTTAATCACATGAGGAGGAGATTGCTTGTCTTTCTCCTGTGGAGCAGCTGAAGAATTCAAACTGCCTGTGTTTGAGTTGAAAGTGCAACTCCTTACACACTAGGCCACCAGAGCTCCCTTCAAAACAGGTTGTTGTTGTTGTTGTTAAGTGCTGTTGAGTCGCAGGCAACTCATAGCGACCCTATGAAGGAGAGGCCTCAACACTAGTGTACCTTTCATCCTCTCTCCAGGTTCATAGGGTTTCCAGAGGCAAGCTATTAAGGAAGTGGATGCCACTCCTGCTTCCAAGCTTGTTCTAATTGGGGAGCTCCAGCCCACACTGTCTGCATTGGGTAGTGAAGGTAATAGTATCAACCTTACCAGGAAGCTGTTGAAAGAAATAAGTTTTTAAACCCTCTTTAGAAAATAAATAATGTTATGCAATAATAACTAAAGTGCTCTGCTGGCCTAGTTTTTAGAGAGTTGTGCTGTTAACCCAAAGGCCACTCCTCTATGCTGGTTTGAGTCATCCACCAGCTTTCTAAGGGAGAGATGGGCAGTCTCTTCCCATTCTGTTTACCGTCTCAGAAACCCAATGGAGGGTGAGCTATGAGTTGATTCTGCTTAATGGCAATGAGTGACATGAGCTCTCTTGGTCGAAGAATAACCAGAATGCTCTTAGAAGCAAAGATTATGAGACTCTGCCTTATATATTTTGAGCACCTTGTCATGAGGGATTAGTCCACAGACAAAGACTGGGAAATGTGAAAGGTCAGTTAAAAGGAAGAAGATTCCTGACAAGATGGATACGGTGAAGACCATGAGGCTGTTGAAGGGTCAGGAAGGGTTTCAGTCTATGGTCCATTGACTGAGTTGGAGTCAACTCAATTGCACCTAAGAACAAAGGGCAGTATTTGGCTTAGTCTCATTGAGGACATTGAGTGTTCCATGTTGGCCTGATGAAGTGGTCTTCTCCAGTAAGATTTACAGCCTCTGTAATCTGATGGAGACTTGGCATGACTTGTAACTGACTCAACAGCACTGGACACCTTTCGATTAATTTTTTCATGCAATACATAGTTATTGGCACAATTTTAAGCAAAGAGCAAAGCTAGAGACTCCATTACAGTGAAGTGCATATTCTAGTGACAGAGAATAGATATGTTAGCACGCCTAGCCTCTCATCAAGTAAGTGCTATGAAGTAAGATGCAGCTCAGAAAACAGTGGTTAGATCAAAGAATGGCTGCTGAGGAGATATGTTTGATGGAGCTGAGGAGAGTTTTTATATCAACAAATAGTAACTTTATATAATTAGTAACAAATGTTTCACACTAACGTCAAAGAAACCCAGTTACAGGATTCTAGCTATACAGAAGTCTCATCCTGCCTTCTTCCACATTAGATTTTGGTAAAATATGCTTTTGTGGAATAAATTTTCTGTATCACTAGCAGTGAACCCTAACAATCTGAATCTTTGAGACTTTATAAAGAAGCCGATTCTTGTGGTGATATCTGCCAATCTTCCAGTTACAATCCAGAGGCCCTTTATGAGGTTTTATTAAATACATGGAGGGAGAAAGAGAGCGAGAGCACAAGAGAGAGCGCGAGCGCGAGAGCGAAGAATAATTTGAACTCTTTGTCTCATTTTAGGGTGAAAAAGGAGCAATGGGAGAGCCAGGACCCAGAGGGCCCTACGGTCTGCCTGTGAGTTCTTGGCATGAATCAATGACCTGTTATTGACACAGTTAACTCCTCCCTCATGGGGCTGACTAATCACATTGCAGGAGCATGGAACAGCCACTAATTATCTAAAGCACCACTACAACCCTGTCCTTCACAGTTAGGTCACCATGTCTCACCCACTATGTTCTTCCCCCACGCCCCTCAGCATGTCCAGACACACCCACACACTTCAGGAAAGCAGGAGGATCACAGGTGTCTGTGGGACAAGCAGTGAATCCAGAAACAGGATTCAGACTGTCAGATGGCACCCACCCTGTGCTGTCACTTCCCAAGGACGCCCAGCACTGCCACTTCCTTGGATGATCACCGTCTCCAAAACTTGGGTGTGCAAGCTTTCATTTCAAACTACCTCCTCAGAGTGTCTATTATTACACAGATCTCCTTGTTAATATTTTGGAGACCTAGTGGGTCAGGAGTTGTGTGCCAATTTAAAGGCGGAGAGCTTGAATCTGCCAGTGGCTCTACAAGAGAAAAGTGGATAATCTCCTCCTGTGACATTAACAGCCTCTGAAGATTTATTGGAGCGGCAGCTCTGAGTCCGTTTCAATTTAACAGCAATGAGGGAGAGAGAGATACTTGTTAATGAAAGCTATTTCTTACAATCCAGGTGATCCTAGCATTGATTATTTATTATGCTTCTCTCCTTCCTAAAGTACTATGACACTAGGTGAACTTGAGAATGCGGAATATCCTTTGCATAATATCTACTGAATTGCTCAGTGACATAGAATTCCCAGTGAGGTCAAGGTTAACTTCAAAGTTATAACTGATGTATTAGGATAAAGGAGGACTACCATAGGCAGAATATATTGTATTAAGATTTTTTTAAATTCTGTGTACTTCCATATTTTATAAACTACAATTAAAACTTTAGCCATGATTAATTCAGTGCTAAAAAAAGATGTTAAATTTGAGATGCATTTAAATGAGCTACTGACGGAATCAAAATAGCTTCTCAGTAATGAATGGATCCAGGACATCACTCTGGTCGTCCTGTTGTAGAGGTGAATTTGTCATGCTTACATCCTTTTATATTTGAGAAATGTTCACTTACAAAGCTTATTTAAAAAAACAAACAAATCCACAATAATCATTTTTATTCTACCTTCTCAGCCTTTATAGATAAGATGCACATCCTAGCTAAATTAAAGCTACATTTAACAGTGTTCGTATTCTTTGCTTATCTCTGAGCTTCTTCTTGAGTTAGCAAGTTAAAGTAGCACAGAACCTTCAATCACATCCTCTGGTCATGCTGATATGTTTTAAAATCAGCTCAACAGTATTTATTGTTCTGCTTTTGCTTTAACACTAACTAATAGGTAGGATACCAAATATCACATTTCAGCAAAACCTCATCAGTATGTGTAACCCTTTATAGACTAGACATTTGCACAAGTCCTAACTGCAACGTAAACAATCACTTCATTCACAGTAGTGAAGTTTGTTTTACTAACTGACAGACTCCTCCCCACCTTTCTCAAGTAGCTATTCTAATACTAGTGTTGCATGCCCAAGCAGCCTTTAAATAAAACAATAACTGACCTATTCAGAAAACGTAGGGACACTAACATAGCTACTATGATTCTTTGGCAGGGGAAAGATGGAGAGCCTGGTCTTGATGTAAGTAATACATCCAATGAACATCTTCTGATTTTAGTAGAAGCTGATGGTCTCCATCATCAATAATAGTGAGACTGATAACTTACTTCTGTGTATATAGCTGTGTGCATACACAACATATATTGCTGTGCATGAAGGCAGCAATATAAAATATACCTCTAGTATTTGCATGAGATAAATATAAAAGGAAAGCCATAATTAAGTGGTATAAAATTAATAACTGATAGCTGATGGTGGCACTTCAAAATAATTTCCCAAGTTAGAGACATTCTTAAGATCAGCAGGTGAGCTACTTATGTAGAAAAAAAAATACACTCAAAAATCCAAACATCTCTCACATGCTCCCTCAGGGAGTCATATATTGTGTTTATTCTCCACACTGCTGGGCAATGCTTTCTTCCTTTTACCACAAAGTCCACATCCTGTGCTACACAATTTTATAAAAATAGAAAATGTCTAAAGCAAATGCCTTTAGGAACTCTCACTGCTTCTCCTTTAGTGTGTGAATAATGAAACTGAAAGCAGTGATAGTCAGCTACCATTATACGTGCAGCATCACGGTGGCACTCCACATGCGAGCCTCATAACACTCACAGAGCTAAAGTGCCGAGAAGGAAGTGGTTTGCCCACAGCCACACAAATCCGTGAACTTACTGGGATTCAAACTGGGATCCGGGTACTCAACCCACTGTTCCTCTCTTAGGGGGAAAGGCAAAGAAACCCGTGGTCTATGGATCACTGTGATATTTAAAATGAGAACAGTTCATTTCTAAATGGTAATTTATCTAAGATCTGAGATTAGAACTCAGAAACATGAAGCCCTAAGGTTTCCCCTGCACTGTAACTTCACTGCTGTTGAGCAATTGTATCTTTGGTTTGCTTTGTCTTTTGTAGGGCTTCCCTGGTCCACGCGGTGAGAAGGGTGATCTTGGAGAAAAGGGAGAAAAGGTGACCCCTCTGCCCTTGCATGTGCCTACTTTGCATCTTCTCTTGCTGCCTCTTTTGCTGTTTAATCTGTGTGAATCCATTGCACTACTCATCTCTCTCCATCTTGTGCGGCCTTCTCTGAAGTAAAGAAGCAAGTCCATAAGAAGAATGGAGAAGCCTACACAGCTAAAATCAGGGGACTGTCTGTTGTTGTTGTTGTTGTTGTTGTTGTTGTTGTTAGGTGCTGTGGAGTTGAGTACAACTCATAGAGACCCTATGAACCAAAGATTGAACCCTGTTCTATCCTGCACCATCCTCACACTTCCTGACATGCAAGAGCCCATTGCAGCAGTCCCTGGGTCAATCTACCTGGTTGAGGGTCTTCCTCTCCTTCGCGAACTCTCCACACTACCCAGAATCATGTCCCTCTCCAAGGAATAGCCCCTCCTAGCAACATGCCCAAAGTATGTGAGATAAAACTTCATCATTCTTGCCTCCAAAGAGCACTCCAGCTGCACCCTCCCCAAGACATATCTGTTTGTTCTCTTGGCCATCCGTGGGATGGATGTTTGGTGCTCTTCTCCAACACCACAGCTCAAAGGCATCAGTTCTTTTTGTCATCCTTATTCATTCTTCAGATCTCAGAAGGATAGCAAGCAGGGGACCATTTAGCATAATGCTTTTGTTAGATTGGTCTATTCCAACTTATAGTGACTCCCTGTACAAGAGAAAGAAACACTGCCTGATCCCTCACCATCCACACAATCCCTGTTGTACTTGAACTTGCTGTTGCAGCCCATGTCAGCCCATCTCATTGAACTCTTTTTCAGTGATCTGCTTTACGAAGCATGATTTCCTTCTCTAGGAACTGGCCCCTCCTAATGGCATGCCCATATACATGAGATGAAGTCTCACCTCCTTACTTATAAGGAGTATCCTGGCTACACTTCTAAGACAGATTTGTTGAATTTTTTAGTACTCTGTATTATTCCATTTTCTTTGTCCACACCATGATTCAGTGGCACTGCTTCTTCTTTGATTGCCCTTTACTTATTGTTCAACTTTGATATACATAGAGGCCACTAAAAAATACCATGACTTGTCTACCATGTTGTTGTTGTTATGTGCCATCAAGTCTTCTGCAATTCATAGGGACCCTATGTACAACAGCTTAAACCTTGCTCTATTCTGTGCTAAGTCAAGCATAGAAGAAATAAATTACAACCTCTATATTTCCAAACTACATTCTTTCAACTATAGGATGCCAATTTACTGAAAAATTAATGATCAGAATGTCTCCAAATGAAAATACTAGGACATAAGTTGCATCAAAGGATAATGAAATAGCACAAACCTTCAATGATCCATCAGTGTTCACGCAATCCTTTAAAGCCAGGTACTTACCACAGTATGTTCTGTATTTCCAGTTTTCTCTGGAAACCAGAGTCAGTATCGTGACCGATAAGCCACAGTGAGGCTCGAGGACTGGGACTCAGAGCTCTCAGATTCAGCACAGACTGCTATCAACGTCATAAATTAAGATATTAGAGTAATTATGATGTTGATGCTCTGTTTTTATCTTAGGACCAACAGTTCCAGGCTAAATAGGACCCCAAATGAAAAAATAGTTTTATATCTAAAACTAAAATACAGATTAAGAGTTTTAAGTAATAATTGTTTCTCTTCTTTCCCCCCCCCATCTCTTTTCATATCTATGTGCTTTGCTTGGCTTGATCTAAGAGGGATTTCTTACCTTGTTAGTGCTCATATTAGGTGCCAGTGAGTCAACTCTGATTCAGGGTGACGCTGTGAACAATAGATGGAAACCCAGGCCTCTCCTGCACCATCCTCAAGGATCTTCCATGTGGAAGCCCATTGTTGATCCATCTCATTAAAGGTTTACCTCTCTTTTAATGATCCTCTGCCTTCCCCAGCATTTCAACTTGGACACAGCAAAACAAGCAAAAACTCATCACCTCAATCAATATATTAGTGAAAATGTCTAAGTTGATGGATGAAATTATACTCTTACAACACAAGTTTAAACCATTAAACTTCTCATATTGATTTCTATCCTGCTCTTCTAAACTCAGTTTGTAGAACGCTACAAAGTCTCTTGTACCATGAAGGTCATGGATATTGAAGAGCAAGGCTGCATGGCAGTTGCCGGAAGGTGTTATAGTCTGCTATGTGCTCCTCAGGCCCTCTCCTCAGTAAGAAACTCCATGTGATGCATACTTACCTAATTGGGTTGTATGAGTCTAAACTTAGGTACTCAAAAGCATTTCAAATTTTTGCTTTAAAACAAGGAATAAATCGTCAGTATTATAGCTTAGGAGAAGCATATGACTATAAATTCAACCCTCAGAATGTGGTGCATTGCCTCATGGGAAAATATTTTCATATTTCAAAACATTTCTTTAAGGGTTTATCTTTAGGAAAATGATAGTCTAAATATGAACACATATCAATAGCCATTCTGTGACCTAAAAAAATTAACATGACCCCTCACATTTCATCGTCACAGTACAGATGGCATTGTCTTGCATTGGGAATCACTGCCTCTCACTAAGTGATACTGATTAATAAAAATCCTCAGGACATTATCCTTTTACCTTGGTATCTGTTTTTCATGATGCTGGAAAGCTTACTAAAGTATTACTGGAAAGTTGATTCTCTTAGCCTGGTAACAATCATCATTTACAGGACATTTTTCTGTTGAGTAGTTAAGCTGAAGTGATTTACCAATCAAATAATGAGTTCTGTTAATAATATCCAACACACTTGACCTCAGTCACACCTGAGTGAGAAGGAGTTGTCCGTATAATGAAAGGAAAGAGCTCATCTGAGCAAGTTTAAGTCAGGTTTATGATTTATCACAGCACTGAAAAGTCACTTGCTAAAGAGGGAAGTTGATTCCTCTTACATGAGTGAACAGTTTGCCCCAGTGTGCTTCCCTGTCACACCTGCTCTCCCCACTCCCCCACAGCCCCCCACCTGCCCACACCCCGGCTTCTCTCAGCTTCGTCTTTCATAGGCAGCAAGCACACCACATAGGCTTCCCTCCTTCCCTGCTATTCAAGAAGCCCAAATGGTTTTGATTGTGAGACTTCTGATGCAATCTTTTTTGGCTCACGGGGGACAAATGAGGCTCGTTCCATTGCTCGGTCAGAATGAATGCATTGATTGTGAATGGAAATCACATATTCTTTCTGTTACCATGTCTTTTCACCTTTGCATATTGATGTTGTTTTGCTTCAGAAATGATTTTTTGTTTTATTGTCATGCTCATCCTGATTGCAGAATGAATACACTCATCTAAATATGCGTTGTAGAGTGTTTTATATTCCATTTGGCACCAAGTCCCTGTTTATAAATATGCAGAGATGCTTGTGATAATATGAAACAGTCGAGGTGCATTCCTTCCTTCTCCTTTTACCTCCTTGCCTCCATTCTTCTATCCCTGCGACCCATGCAAAATCCCTACAACTTCACCTTGATCCCCAAGTACTAATTTCCATGGCTACATTCCCACTATGTAATTATTCTGCCTACTTCATATCCTGCCTACTTCATCATTAGTATTAGCTCAACTGAGATCCAACTGCTTTTTCTATCTTAAACACAATTTTTTTTTGCTCTAGTTACATGATCACAAACTGGAAACTCATTTACCATTGTGAACACCTGGCATGAAATTGATGTTGTTGTGTGCCGTTGAGTTGCAACCAACTCGTAGCTGACCCTGCAGTGGGTTTTCAGAGGCCGTAAATCACATGGGAGGAGATTGCCCATCCTTCTCTCGAGGAGCAGCTGGTGGATTTGAAACACATGCCTTTGGGGTTGCAACACAGCTTTTTACCGTTAGGCCACCTGATTTTCGAATATGAAATTGATAAGAAAGTGAATTAAAGAGGATTCTTGGTCTCTCTTAAAAGATCTAGTCCTCTAATTAGCAGTACTGAGAATTGTACACTTTCTAAAAAAGCCTTTAGAAAAAAATTATATACTTTTCCTTATTATGTCATAAAGAAAATTCTTTGCTTTTGCTTTACTGAAATAGAATGTGAAAATAAATAGAAGCATTTTTTTTTAAATGCACTGGTTACTCTCTCAATGAGATATGTGAGAGCCAATATAACAGTGGATTTTTTTTTTTTAGAAAAAATCATTTCCTTTTCCTCTGGCTTTAAGTAGCTTTCATCTGTTACAAGATTAGGAGAAAGGTTAAAAAACAAAAACAAACAAACAAAAAAAAACCCACAAACAAAAAAAAAACCAAAACCAAAACCTGTTGACAGGTTTTGAAAATTGGTAAAGTATCCATTATTCCTATGAAGTTCATTCACCACTGGCTGGCCTTGGTATAGTTGAGATCTGTCCAGAAAACACCTAAGTCACAGTGGTTAAGACATTGTGTTCTAAGTCGCCACTGATCATCCTTTCAGGTATGCTGACCTTCTGGGTCTACATTGGTCTCACAGAACATCTTAAATAAAGCCATTCATATGGGTTCCCATAATGTCATGCCTTACCTAAAGCGGAAGTCAATGGTAAATGTCCTTCCAGGCTTTGATTGGCTAAATCATCTTTTGAACCACTGTTATCTACACCATCACTACAAATAAAACCTGTCTTTTATCTAAACCCTTGTATCCACAGGGGGAAAAGGGAAAGAAAGGCAAAAAGGGTCCTAAAGGGGAGAAAGGAGAACAGGGTGCCCCTGGATTAGATGCACCTTGCCCATTGGTATGTCAGACTCATGAACTGTCTCCAGATGTCATGTGTGAAGCAGTAAGAGGGGAGAAGAGCCAGCTGGAGGGACAAGTGCACAGGCCTTCATTGGGGCCATTACCATAGACCTTAAGGTACTGGAAACATCCAGCGTGGTCATCCTAGAATGTTCCATACCTTGTTCTGCCCACTAGCTCTGCAGACTTTCTTAACACTCCAGTATCTGTGTTGTTGAACAGCTGGAACCTGGGGAGGTTCCAGGATGGGGCAAAGGGACTAGCACCTCTCCATGTGCCTTGAAGGAGAAGGTGACCCTTCCAAGACAAATCTCGGTAACACTCTGTTTAATTTTATCCCACGTTGCTGTGTGTTACTTTTCGCTCCAGAGACGCTCTTCTCCCAGTCTTCTCTCATTGTAGATATATATATATATATATTTTTTTTTTTCAGCAGATCTGTACTTACGTGATTTCTTGTGTTAGTAACGTTATGAGTTAATCTTTACAAACAGGGATTCCGTGGCGTTAAGGGGGAAAAAGGGGAGCCAGGCCAGCCTGGCCTGGATGGGCTGGATGCCCCTTGCCAATTGGTACAGTATTTCTCTTTCCTTCCACCCTGCATGCAATTCCTGTGTTTATTATCTATTTATCTCTGTCAGTGTAAAGTGGTGCAGTCGGCAGCAAGCTTTACATGATAAACTTTCTCCATGCATGTGCACGAGCAGGCTCCTTCAGTAGTTAGCTGCAATGTGAAGAGAGCAAGCCTGGGTGTTTATCTTATCAGCAATGCATATTAACCTCCTGGCATTGTCCTCACACTGGGCATGACCTGTCATATCCATGTTCTTTACCATTTTAATTTACTCACTAAATATTTAAAGGGTACATTAAACATTATGCCAAAATTCCTTTCTTTTTTTTTTTACTCTTCACATGATTTATTTTAAATGACTGCTGGTTCTAGATGCTCACAAAATTCCTTTCTAAAGGCACTGCTAAGCCATAGATTTTTAATTAGCCCTTAAGTATACCTTATTGTCCTCTCTTTTAACAAAGAAAGGCTCTTTGGCCTTTTTTTTTTGGCCTTTTTTATAAATTAAAAAAAATAAAATAAAAAAACCAACCAACACCAGAATTTCTACCAGGTTGTAAATAAGACCAAACCTATAGACTTAAGCTTCCTCCGTGGTCAAGCTTTAACCAGTCTAAGAGAATGTTGTTAAGAGACCATGAGGAAGAAAACCAAACTTCTCTGAACTCCTAAAGATGATAATAGTCTGCAGCCCAAACCCTCTTCTTTGCCACATAACATTTCCAACTTAATGGTCTCTCCTTTTGAAACTCACTTTCCTAAAGTATACACATCCCCTATCTCCATTAGCATGAACTCAAAATTCCTCCTTATACTAAAATCTAAAATTCTACTGGTTGATCCTTCTCCTTGTACCAATCTGGCATTACAGGATTTTTTCCACAAAAGTATTTTATAATGCTGTTTCAGAAGTTTGTTCTTTTACAAAACATTTAAAAGGAAAGCATATTGATATTCTGAAGTCTTTAAGAACATTTTTATGGTTGAGGTACCAGTTATTATCTGTGTGCATGTTTTTATAGGCAGTCCCCAGATTATTAACAACCAATCATCTCTGTTCTGTTCAATCCGTAATTATTACAAACCAACCCCATAAGGCCTATTATATTAAATACATACAATGTTCATAGTAACAAACAAACATGACTTTGTAACAGTGCATCAAAACATTCCTAATTATTAAAAGGAGCTCTTGTGGCCAAGTAAGTGGTAAGGAGCTGGGATGATAAATTAAAGGCATTGTGTTAATTAAAGATGTTTTAGTGTATTCAGTGTTTCTTTAATGTTTTTATGCATGAAAAGATGCACTTTATAGACTATACACTAAGATAAACATTTAATTGAATGATGTTAGATACAAACCACACCTAAATGTTGCAGCTTACCTGCAAATTTAACTTAAAGGCAAATTTAAGAACTAATTTCTTTTGTAATTTGGGGACTGCCTCTGTATTATTCTTTAGTTCTAAGCATGACTCTTTAAAGATAAATTTCTATTTCTTGTGTCTTTTAAGGTGTTATATTTATACACAAAATTCTGACTTAGTAATGCTAGTTTAAAAATCTCCAAATGAAGCATTCCACATATTTTGTTTGCTTGGTATTGTTGATGGTCATTTTTATACTCATTTTCATGGGGGAAAACCCAAGCATGCCTTTATAATAGACCAGCTCTTCCTGCATTATTTGTATAATTTGTGTCTAATGAATGCTTATACTTTAAAATAAACTATACAACATTTAGCAGCCTTTTATTCATAATCCATTAACTGGCTTCTGAAGCACTTTAATAGCTAGAAAAACCTTTGAATGTTGTGGATGATAACATTTTACTATAAAAGTATATAGCTAGGTTGCCTATCTTCTTATCCAACTGAATATATCTATTGTGTCTATTTTAAATAAAAGAACGTGTAAAACGCTGCCATAATGAGAGGCATAAACTTCAGATAGAAATGGTTCATCATTTGTTATCCATCAATAGTACTTACTCAACCATAGGCCACAGTGACCATAAAGAGAACTGATTTCAGCTTTGGGATAATTGTGAGATATATTGTGTGGAATTAAGGACCTATCCTAAAGATTTAATGCCCAAAGGTGTCATTGTGAGTAGACCACTATGGTTTGTAAATTACTTTTACAAAATTAGGCAGAGGTTTTTCCATACGTTGTGTATTTACAAAAAGTATACTTATCCTAGAAAACATTTAAATTTGTTTCATTTTTAACTAACATTGGGTAATATAGTGGGAGTTGCTAATTAGAAAAAGATGGTTATGAGTGAAACCACCTAACAAGTAGAGAAAATCCTCTGAGCATGTGTACTGTGACACACGTCCATCCTGTGGGGCCTGAGGAAGATTTCTTCTTCTCTTTGAAACAGGGACCAGATGGATTACCCATGCCTGGCTGTTGGCAAAAGGTAGATGTTGTGGAATTTCTTTTTTAAGTACAATTCTCCTTTTCTTTTGACCTGGGCTCGTCTTTTCCATTCATAATAGATGTTTCTAATTTGGTGTTCATGCAAATTGTTTAGGTATTAAAAAGCAGAAGATTCCATTTTCCAGAATATTTCTGCTCAACATGTTTACTACTGATTTCTTACAAAGCTGATGAGTGAAAACAGTTCTTAGTCAGCATTATAATCTGGAGCATTCTTTTATTCTTTTCTTAGAATGGAAAAAACCAGCACATTCTGATAATGGGTCGCTTGCTTTTCAGTAAACTTACTGTTTTTACTTACTTACTGTTTTAGTCTTCTTATTGTTTTTAACTATTCTTAATTGTTATATATTTCTGTAATTTTATGTAATTGTTTTTATATGGTTATATGGAGATATTATGTGGTAGAGCCTTGACAATATGAGTTACATAGCTGAGAAAGCAGAAAATACAATCATCATGGCAACTTTTTTCCTCAGCAGTGTTTCCATTTCTATTATGATACCTGGTTCTATTTAAAGATCTCTGGTGGCATCCTATGTTTTGAGTTGTACTGCTAACCAAAAAGCTCAGTGGATCAAATCCACCGGATGTTCCTCAGGAGAAAGAAAGCTGCCACCTAGAAAGTAGGCTTCTGTGGGTCTGTGAAGAGTTACCAGGTAGCGCACCTGTTGAAGCACTGGACTGCTAGCTGAAAAGATGGTAATTCAGACCTACTCAATGCAAATAAGCCCTAGTCCTCTGTTGCTAAATGGTCACAGCCTTGAAAACCCTTCATGAAGTCATCATGAGTCGAACTCTACTCAACAGCAAATATTACCATGAATTTGCTAATGGCCAAACTTCTCCCTTTTGGGTTTTTTTTTTTATTTTTTTGTGCGTTTTTTTAAAACTTTTTTTTTCTCCTTTTTGATTTAAAGCCTCCATAACCCGATGAAGGGTTATGAGATAGTCCCCACTACATGGCAAACGGAGAGAGAGATTCCTCGTAAGTGGGATCATACAAAATTTGTCTTTTGGTTTCTAATTTCTTCTGCTTGGCATAATATTTTCAAGTTTCTTCCATGTCCTATCAGAACATCATTTCTCTTAGTCAGTTGTTTTTCACCACAAGCTTCATTGAACGAAATGAAAGCAAGGCTGGTTGAGAGTCTAAGACAATGAGAAGACGTGGTTTGCCTCTCGCCCCAGCACTTCAGGTGGTGAGCAGATCCATATCATACTGCTGCTTCTGAGAGTGGCATTCACTTAGCAGCTTCTCCTACTCCGTTTTCAGGCCGTTAGATAATCAGCATGATCAGGTCAAGTGGTTCTCGGGAAGAAGAGCCTCTCGTCACATTTCCTTCACCTGAGAAAACGATCCTGACACCGTCCTAGCTCCCGCTCACAGGAGTTTAATAATATCCTGGGTCTCAATTACTATTCACTCTTTAACCTTTCTCCTATCATTTAATACTGTAATGATTTTTTAATCTAGCCATTAGTGCACTTAACTTAGAGGGAGATATGAAGGGTTTATTTTGGCCAACTTCAGACACCACTCAGAACTTGGATTCCTAACCATTTCAAGCTGCCTCTAAATAACTTCAAATAAATATAGCTACAATCACCAGCAAATAGCCAAACTTTAATAGTAATATACATACTGTTAGAAAATTAAAAATGGTGTTTCTTTTTCTGCAGGGTCAGGGTTATAGTTTACATAAGATTACAAATTTCCTCTGGAGAGTGGATGAAAGGCACCCAAGTGTTCAGGACTCTCCTTCATAGGGTTACTATGAGTCAACTGCAACACGACAGCACTTAACAGCAACAACAACAAATTTTCTTACTCTAGCACATTCTGTTATGAAGAATTTTAATTCAGTGATAAAACTCCAGTGTGATATATCATGAATCTTCACAGCACAAAAAGGTAAATGCTAAGCTGCTAACACTAGGGTTGGAGGTTCAAACCTACCTGATGGCTCTGTGGAGGAGACTTTGGAATGTATTTCCCTAAAGATTACAGTACAGCAAACCCTATGGAGAAATTCTCCTGTGTCACCTGAGTTTGTCATGAGTTGTCACACAATAGTCCCAAACGACAGTTGTTCACTACACCAACATTTACAAATGGAAATCATTCTGTCCTCCTCTCTAAAAAGGAATTAGAATAATAAGATACTTTAAATCTCCTCAAATAAATTATCAGACTCAAAATGCAACTTGCCTATGAGGATAGCATCAGGAGGAAGCTCTGCCCGTCTTTCTCCCATGGAATGGTTGGTGGATGTAAACTGCCAGAGACAGCACAGCCTGTTAGGACTACTCACTACAGACTCTACCAGGCCCGCCAGATGATGTCTTTTTAATAAGGGTGTTCAGGCAGCCTAGTGGTGAGGAGCTGCACTGCTCACCCAAAGGCACATTGTTCAAGTCTCCCTGCTGATCGTAGGAAGAAAAATGAGCAATCACCTCCCGTGTGATTTACTGCCTCGGAAAACTCACTAGAACTGTGAGTAGGTTCCACCTCGATGGCACATAACAAAAACATTTTAAAAATAAGACCAGTGAACTGTCTTTAATAAATTCTATTTCATATGGAGCCCTTGCTAAATCATATTTCTCATGCTTTCTAGATCACAGTGATAAATACTTGTTTGACTTAAAATTCAAATTACGGCAGCAGTATAAGTCACTGTAGTCAATTAACAAGTTCCCTTGTTGTGCTACTCTCCATAGTAATTGCTTTATGCAGAACTACTTGATCTTTGCTTAAATGAGTTTTATTTCTGGATACCATTTCATTTCCTAAATTTACCAGTTTAAGGCGAGTTGCTAAATTAGAATTGAAGTGTAATGACGTCCGGGTCTCAGTATAATTCATGTGATGGATAAACAGTGGACCTTACTGTTAAGGAATATTTTTAGACTATTAGAGCTCTGCTGGCCTACTGACAAGGAATTGCACTCCTAACCTGAGGCTCCTGGTTTGAATCTCCCAGCTGGTCCCCAGGAGAAAAATGGGGCACCACCCGTGCAATTTACAGCTGCTGAAAACACACGAGATGGTCAGCTATGAGTCAATTCTAATTCAGCAGTGGGTAACAAGACAACACAATAGGCTACTAAGGTTATCCTCCATCCTGATGCAAAAAGTAATAAATATTTAATATAAAAAGGTCCTATAGCCTTGTTCTTTAATATTTCACTTTCCTATTTTTTACTATTTCAATTTCTTTTTCCAAGTAGAGATGATAGACTTATAGCTGAACTTTTCTAAAGCAAAGTGACAGTATTTTTAGTTGAAGTTTTTAAACTTGTAACTGAGAAAGTTATAAGAATCTTTAAAATTCTGTAGACTATTTATAAAACATTGGCATGTTCCTGTTATTTTTGTTAGATGCTGTCTAATTGATTCTGGCTCATAGCAATCTATGTATAATAGGATAAAAATAATGCCCAATTCTGCACCATCTTCTCATTTTTTTGCTATGTTTAAGCTCTTTGTGCCACATCATATCCATGAGACTATGCCTCTTTTTTTGTCAACCTTTCTACTTTAACAAGCATGTTGTTCCCTCTTGAAAACATCCTCAACACAAGTGAAATGAAATTTTCCCATGCAAGGAATATTGGACTGCACTTCTTTCAGGATTCTTCACAAACACCACAATTCAAATTCATAAGTTCTTCTGCCCTTATATATTGTCCAACTTACTCATGAGTGTGAGGTATTTAGAATTACCTCTTCAGCACATTCAACAGAAGTTGGATTCAAGGTCATTTGACTGTGTGGTTCATAACAAATTATGGCTAACATTGAGAAAAGTGGGAATCCCAGGACACTTAATTGTGCTAATTTGAAATCTGTACCTAAACTAAAAAGCTCTTGTCTGAATGGAGCAAGGGAATACTGTATGGTTTAAAATCGGGAAGGGTGTGTATCAGAATTGTATTCTTTCTCCATACCTATTCCGTTTGTTTGCTGAACAAATAATTAATGAAGCCAGATGCTATAAATAAGAACGTGGCATCAAGATTGGAGGAAGACTCATCAACAACCTACAGTATGCAGATGACACAACTTTGCTTGCTGAAAAGTGAGAAGGACATGAAATGCTTGCCACCGAAGATCAAGGACTACAGCCTTCAGAAGGATTACATCTCAACATCAAGAAAACAAAGGTCCTCACCACAGGATGAACAGTCACCATTATAATAGAGAAAGGACTGAAGTCGTCAATTATTTCATCTTGCCTGGATCAACAATCAACACCCTTGGTAGCAGCAGTCAAGAAATCAGGAGACATATTGCATTGAGTAAATCTGCTGTCAAGGACCTCTTCAAAATGATGTCGAGCATTGATGTCAATTTGAGGACTAAGATGTGGCTGATTCAGGCCATGGTCTTCTCAGTTACCTGCTGTGCATCAGAGAACTGGACAGTGAGTAAGGATGACAGAAGAAGGATTGATACCTTTGAGCTGTGGTGTTGGAGAAGAGCACTGAACATCCCATGCACGGCCAAGAGAACAAACAAATATGTTTTGGAAGAAATACAGCCGGAGTGCTCCTTGGAAGCAAAGATGGCAAAGCTTTGCCTTTCATACTTTGGACATGTAGCTAGGTGAGGTTATTCCTTGGAAGGGGACATCGTACTTGGAAAGAAAGAAGTTCCACAAAGGAGAGGAAGATTGACATGGTGACTAATGCATCAGAGATGATAAGGATCCACAGGATAGGACAGGGTTCAAGACGGCTGTTGATAGAGTCTATGAGTTGCACAAAACAGCACCTAACAACAACAGGCCATCTCCCCCACCCCCACTCCCCAGTGACTTACTGAACTTTGAAATTGGATGTAAGTGAAGATTTGAGGGAAAATCACATATTATGATGGTAACATGGCATTCACAGAATAGTGAATGAACTCCATCTTAAAATACTATGACAGACCTGCTCTCTTCCCAAAACCAAACCTACCACAGCTGAATCGGTTGCAACTCACAGTAACCTCATAGCACAAAGCAGAACAGGTTCACAGGGTTTCTGAACCTGTAAATCCCAACCGGATGAGACTGCCTCATTTTTCTCCTGTAGAACAGCTCATGGATTCAAACAACCATATAAAGAGAAAGGCAAAATCCAATGAGAATGATTAAAGGAAAGCACAGAGAGGTATGTTGTTGTTGTTGTTGTTGCTAAGTGCTGTCGAGTCGTAGGTGACTCATAGCAACCCTATGAATGAAAGTCCTCAGCACTTGTGTGACTTTCATCCTTTCTCCAGGTTCACAGGGTTTCTGGAGGCAAGTTATTAAAGAAGTGGATGCCATTCCTGCTCCAAGCTTGTTTTAATCTGGAAGCTCCACCAAACACTCACTGTCCTCTATGGGTAACCATTATCCCATTTGACATCAGTGGCACAGTGTTCAGCATCACAGCAACCACAAGTTACCTCTGTATGGCAAGTGGACACACCAAGGCTATATGGCCAAGAAGAATGTTTGACCAAAAACAATGAAAAAAACAGGCCTAAGGGCCACAGATTAAGTCACCCACCTTTGGCTTGGTAGCATCACTTTCTGTCTACTAGGCCCACTGATCTCACAGAGAGATATCGAAAGACTAATAATGAGAGTCAGAATTAGAGAGAGATTGTGCAATTACATGGTGTTTAATTAGGAAGCTGTGGTAGCCTGGTGGTAAGGAGTTGTGCTGCCAGCCCAAAGGCAAGAGGTTCAAATCCACTATCTCCACAGTTAGTTGGACACTTTCCTCCCATTCAGTGTAAAGCCTTTGAAAATCTGCAGCAGGGACAACTATATATTCATTTCCAACTCTGTGGAATGTAACAATAAAAATCATTAAAATTAATGCTATTTAGTGTGCAAAACATGCATGAATAGTTGAATGAAAAGAGAATTCACTTTATAAGTTTTAACTCAAATCATAGTAAGAAAATTAAAAAAAAAATTTAAAAAACCTCAACCTTTCAGTCAGCATCCCAAGACTTAACCCACTGCACCACTAAGGTTCTCTTGCCTTCCTGTGCACACCAAATACAGCATCTGTTCCCATAGAGAGAAAAGTGCATGCTGTTGATTGATAAATGGAAAGATGATTCTGCAAATGAGTCATTGTGGTTAAGCACACATTTATCATTCTCTACACTGGACTGAAGAAGACTATTCTACTTTCTCACTCATTTTTCTTTAAAGCAAAATTAGGGAGGCTTCCATGACCTGCTCAATAAATCTATCATATGAAGACCACTGCTCCCCAGTTGTCTCAAGCTTAAACTCAGCTCTGGGAGAGCTGTAATAATCCTGGCTTTCCTTAAAGAGCCCTGTGGTGCCTTAAAGCACAATTACTGTTGTTGTGTGCCATAGAGTGGGAGCCGATCCATAGTGGACCCTCCAGTGGGTTTTCGGAGGATGTAAATCACACTGGAAGAGTTTGCCTGAACTTCTCCAGTGGATTATTGGGTACCTGTTCTCCAGTGCAGACCATTCGTTCTCCAGTAGTGAATTTGAATTGTGTACTTTTGGATTGCATCACAGCTTCTTACTGCCAGACTACTAGAGCTTCCACAGGATTCCCTGTCTTATCCGTGGTTGTATTTAAATATTTAGAGAAAACTATGTAAAATATAAATGGAAAATAGATTTTTAATTGTAGTACATATCTATATAGGGTTGCTATGAGTTGCAGGCAGCTCAACGGCACATAACAACAACTACAATATATCCACTATTGCTGTTAGTTGCGCTGTATGGAATCAAATTGCTTCCTACTTCGTGCAACTCCACGTGTACAGAGTAGAACTCCTCCAGAGGGTTTGCAAGGCTGTGACCTTTCAGAAGCAGATGTCCAGGCTTCTCTTCTGAGGTGTTTCTGGGTAAATGCAAATCACGGAACTTTTGACTAAAGTCAAGTGCTTAATCTCTTGTACCACTAAGGGACCATTTCATGTGAAAAAAAAAATTCTAATTTTCTGCTTTCCCAGAACAATTACTGAGACAAGCACCACACACTTCTCAGTGGGCTAAATATAAGATCAAAATTTTCGTATGTCCTAGAGATTAGGATAGTAATTTATGGGGCACATATCAAAAGGTCACTTGGCTCATTGCGTAAAGACTTTTCAAGGTTCTACCAGTATTTTAAAATTCATGTCAGTTTGGAATCTTTATCCTTGATTACTAATTCTATGTATTTGTCCTCTTTTTGGTTTCTGTTGTTTGTTTTTCCTGCAGTGATGAATCTAACCTTCCGAGCATGAAGTTGTGTATATAATGATCCACTTTTTATATTTATAGTTACAATCCAAATGGCAGATTTTACAAGTCTGAGATATGTTTACATCTAGCTGCTTCTTCCTGTTCGCAGTAGTACACATGTCCATCTTTTCTTCACTCACTTCTGAAATTGGGCACTATGTGAAATCAGTGAGAAGCCTGAAAAAAAAAAAAGATATTTTATCTTGTGTGAAGATGCATATTTATATGGACTTATCAGTGATAGAAAGTATTTGTTTCTGCTATTTTCTTATGTTGGGCTTGCTACTTGCATGGACAAAACGTGCCATGAAATAGTTTACATGAAATTGTGACCAAATATGGGCTTGAAGCTATGAAAATGTTACTATACTGGCAAGGTTTAGAGTTTAGCCTCATTCCTGTCCCCCTCACTCTCAGCGTTGGTTGATGCCCACCGCACCCATTGAAACCGACTAAAAAAGCATGAGTGTGTGCCACGCTTGCTTGTTGTACAACTCCAGATGCTAGCATGCTGCTTGATGAGTCCTTTGATCACATCTGAACTGTTATTCCTTTTGTCATCTTAAGGGGGTCACACCGTGGCTTATAGCCAAAAAGAGATAATGTGATGGAGAGCGCACACACAAACGGTCTTGTATTTTGAGGGAGCTGCAGTGCCACGTGCAGTGCTATAGCTTCCCATCTTGTGGGCTCGCGCGGCCTCCTTGCTTGAAATGCCAAGGGACTGAGCTGGTTGCCACCGCCGGTTTTCTTGGGCTGTCCCGGCCGGGAAGACACCGGAGAGGACCTGTTGGCGATCCTGCGTGTGTGACTGGTTCTTCTCGTGTGACCAAGCAGGAAAGAGGTTTACAAATACAACTGCCCACAAGGGCAAAGCTTTTTTTTTTTTCTCAATAAACTGAAATCCAGCAAGTATTAATATGGGTGCTTTTGGAAAATGGCAGAGGCATAGAGCATTTCTTTTGTGGTAAGAGATTCTTGGAGTGGCCGCCCACTTTCTGACGATAAAGAACTTGTGCATCTCACCAAAGGTCAAGTTGCTGAAGAAAAAAAGTCATCCTGAGAAGGGGTCAGCCAAGAAGATGACCTCTCCTGCAGACTGAGGGGAGCTTCCCAGTATACGCTGAAGCTCCTGAGAGACCTTTCGTTCTGTGAGGCAGCACAGGTCAAACAGTGTTCCCAAAATTCCCAGCAGGAAAGTATTTGCTGATCTTTTTAATAATTTCTCTCTTTTTCTTTTTTTGAGTCCCAGTTATACTTAGAAAATATTTGTTCCAGTTTTCTCTCACAGTTGTCTTGAACCGTTTTTTGAAGAAAATGCTTCCATTCATAATCATTTCAATATTTAAAGAAAATGTAAACGAAGATCCACCTACAGCTGTTCACTCATCGTAAAGCAGCAATGTGCATTGTCTTTTTAAGTGCTTTACTTTTTGTTCCATGGCAAATGCATAATGTTTATCAGTTAAGATACAGCCAAGATTTGGTCACGTTTAACAGTACTAACTCATTTCTATATCTTATTGTTCTACTTATGTCTAAGATTTATCTATATTTAGATTTCTTTATCTTTTTAACATTTCTGAGTGTTTGTCTTATTCTCTTAAGCACAGACCAAATCCGAGATCACAGAAAGCTGTGAAATATAGTTGCCAAAAAGAGGAAATTTTTAATCTACTTGTTCAAATATTTACCTAACCAGATTAGGCTGAGCATTTCTTTGCATATTAAAGAGGTGGTTTATTTGAAGTAGAAAATGTTACCTTGGGAGAAGCATCATTAATGAGGAGGAATTCCTTTTCAGTACTTAGGACAGCTTTTTCTCTTGACTCAATGCTATTTTGTAGGAAATTTTCTAGTTTTGTGTAGGTTTTTACCATCAGGAGGAAATTGTCTCATCATTGATTTAAAACAGTTAAGAAATAATCATTTAACAGAGCACCTATGCTCTCTTTGATATTATGTAACTACATTTTAAATTTTAGAAAAACTAAATTTTGAATTCTAGAAAATGGCTTCTTTTGTTTCCATTAAGTTTATAAGCTTGGAAAGATGTTCAGAGTATTAGATCAGGCTAATTGGTATATTTTCTATTAACATTCCATATTTCAAAGCCATTTTAGCGTTCTAAAAATAAAAATTGGCTTTTTTTTTTTTTTTTTTTTTTAGCAATCTCTTGTATGACATGGTTAGGATAAGGTATTATCCAGTGTCTGAAACAATTTGTCTTAAAGTGGTTTGGGAAAAAAAATTAACCACAGCAAGAAGAACTACATTCTCTTCAGGAAACTAAATACGATGTCTTGAGAAAAATCTGGTAGCTCTATTTCTTCCCTGCCATCTTTCTTCTTACTCCTCTAGTCACTATTTAAAACGTGCATAGCTTCGAAAGAGAATACCTCAGTATCAAAAGAGAAATACTTCCCTTTAATAAAATTAGCCCAGCCCTTTCAAAAATGAGCTTCTGTTATTTGTGTATATTGAGGGTTTTGCTCTGTAACTGATTTGATATTATGATTTATCCCTGACTAAAGGAAGCTGTAAACTTCCATTATGTCTATTTCCTTGGGAAGACTAAAGACTTTATTCAGTGTGATTGCTAGGTCTTAAGCTTGGATAATCTTAAACTTTGACTACTAAAGTCATTTTGATAACAACCTTCAAATAATTTCCCAATGAACTAATTAATTACATTTGATGTTATATGTGATGGCCAAATACATATTTTCTTTAAAGTATCTTTCTTTTAATTTATATTATTGGACAACTTATTGTGAAGCAATATACAAAAAAACCTATTGTGAAATAATATACAAAAGGCACGTTGAAAATAATCCAAGGTCAAGTTCTATTTCTGAACTTTTTTTTCTTTTAAGGATGCCAAATTTGTATATTATCTCTTTAAAATTATTTTCTGTTTATGTTGGTGCTAATGTATTTTTTTTCTCCTCCCCCCCCCATGGATAATGTAACTACTTAGCATCAATTTCATTTCTGTGTTTAATAGCATTCCTAAGCTAATAGTATGAAATTTTATTTTTTAAGTTCATGAAGTTGCTATCATTTTTCTATGATCAGTCTTTTTTTGTGTAAAACAGAATGAAATGGTAGCTGGCATGTGCTTACTTGGAATGTGGATCCCCTTATTTCCTGTTCACTTTGTCTGTCATACACCTTTATCAATTTTCACCCTCATCTTTTAGCTTATGTGCTATGATTAAGCGTGACGGAAATCAGCTTTAGATACACATCTGCCCACTCTGAATAGAGTTCCTGGTGTGTGAATATGCCTTGATTTTTCTTCTGGTTTTGATTTTTTATTATCAAAAATAGTCTTTGAGGATTTTTCTTTGAGAAAATTTCTTTTCCTATAAATTTAATTTATAGGGGAAGGAAAGAGCATCTCTTTAACTTCCAAAAAAATAGAAATAATATTCTTAAACTTAATGTCTGTGCATAATGCCCTGATGGGACAGCAAATCCTATACATTGAGTAGTTCATTGGATACGTCCTTTGTCAACAATATGTGTATATATTTGCAAGTTTTGAAAATGGTCAAATCAGCATGTCTATACCTATGAAAAAATTGTCTTTGGTATCTTGTTTTTACTTAGAGAAGTTTTCCTTTAATGTGACTATTATCACATTAAAAAGTAAGTATCTTTTCTTTATCCTTTTTTTTCCCATTATACTCTGAAATGGATATACTTGTGCAGTTACAACACATACAGACATTGATCTGGAAAACTTGTGGTTTTTTAAATTTTTTTATAATCAAGTTATTTCACTATTTTAATATTTAGCATTACCACAAATAGACTTTTCTAAATTCTACCTAAGATTTTAAATCCTGCTACCCCTAGAAGTTCAAGTCCCTAAAAGGAGGTTTTATCTTCTCAAAATAACAGTCACACAAGATACTGACTGATAAAATAATATACCAAAAAGAGAGTAAGTCACATACCCATAGTATAATCAATGTGTTCCTGCCAAATTGACTTCCTAATAAGGACTTTTAGCCACTCCTTTTTCTATCTTTGGTTAAAGTGTCTTCATGCTGGTTAGACTTTCTATATGACATAGCAGAGATATCCCTCCAGCTTAAATTTTTGGTGAATTTTATTTTAGATAATGATAAAAATGTTCATGGCATTTCTGATCTTTGAACAATATATGTAAATGCCTGAAATTGCTTGTGCTGCTGATTAACAGACAGGCCCATCATTTGGAGAATAAAACCCATCCAGATGGACCCATTAGGTGTGATTGATTAACAACTAAGAAAATACCAACATTTCCTAAAATGTACTTGATATTCTCAAAAAATATTAGTTGGATTCTCAAGAGAATGTCTTGCATATTGTTGACATATATGAATATTCTCTATATCGTTGTAAATGTTTGATGCAACTTAACATTTTTGAAAGATGTATGTATCTGACTTTCTTTTGGAAAATATTATATTTTTATTTGTATTTTTTACATTTTAAGGTTCATCTCTATGTGCAGCTATTTTTATAGTTCCCAGAAATATCACATAAGTACAAAATAAGAGGAAAATGAAAAAATATTTTGGCAAATGTTACACTGCATATGTTTTTTTAAAATATTTTGTGGGTCAGTCTTGTAATTGATCATTCTAGACTCTGTTGTGTCTTATCACTGTAAATATGGCACAAACCTATTTTCCCAGTAATGTAAATAATTGGAATATTGAATTCTGCTTATTTGATTTCTTATCTCTATTTCATTATCATTTCTCCAGCTCACAGGGCCGATCAAAAGACCCATGTGTTTTTTTTTTTTATTTGCAGTTTGGATATAATTGCGTTGTGTTCAGTTTCTAATGTTTTTATTTGATTTTTTTAAATTTGTTTTCAGGGTTCCTAGTTTGTGAGAAGTTGATCTTCAGAATTATTTTTTCACTATTTATGACTTATTTTCATAATGTAAAAAGTGTGTAATTATTACAATAGTAATCCAAACAATGATAATGAATTGCATTGTTATAAAGTTTTATTGATGTTCATGAAAACTTTGGCCTCTTTTCTGTTATTTACACACAGTCCATAAAGAATTTCTTT